ATTCAAAATTGATTTTTCAAAACCAATTTCCGGATTTGGACTCTTTGGTGATTTATCAGTCTTACATTGCACTTTGTGAGATTAGATTCAGAACCGTGACAGGAGGCCAAACTGTAGTAGCTAGAACCCAATTCGCGCCCTCTCCGAAAAGGGGGGCGCGCGGAGAGTGTTCGGGCAGTCTACAGATAATTTATTATTTCAGTAATGCTACAAACCCACACTTTCACTCATAATAATGTGACAAGGGAGTTGAGTCCCATGACATTGAGTGTATAACAAATAAAGAGATGACACATATGATACCACATCATTGTAGATACAATTGTGGGTATTTTTTCGTGGGTCTCAAACATTTTTCTTATTGTTCATCTAGATGTTTTTATGTAATGCTCCAAAATAATTACAATAATCCAACTCCAAACAACCAATGTAAGATGACATAATGGAAATGATAAACTTTCATTAATCAGAATTGATATACAAAAGGTAATACATGTGATATACATTCATAAATAATTCATCCTGAATTTACAGCATGTATGACAAATGGCGATAAGAAATGAAAGCTAAACAAATGCTCATATGCCCTAAGGGCTTACATCTTTCTAAGTCACTACTTGGTTACAACAAAAATGAGTCTAGTTTAATCATAATCAAAGCCCTTGGCTATACAAAATAAATACAACAAAAGAGAAACTCTTGCTCTAAATCCCTCCAAGTTACTATCTTGGCGGAGACATATCACCAACACTTGAAAATGGTTTTTCCCAAATAGGGTGAACCAAAGCCCAATAGAAACAATCTAACACAATATATGAATCTTAACAAAGATACAAGTATGATATGCATATTCAATACCCATGATAAAATCATTTATAACTCTTTTACAAAACCATTTTATATCTCTGTTCATTTTATTCTCATTTCATAAGTCATTTACCATTCCATTCGGACAACCAAACTGAGGGTACAACTCAATGGGTGTCTAACCAATACAACCATTATACAATTACTTCCATTTTGCCATTTTATGGATATTTCGTCCGTGGGAATTGACACCCATGTATACATGCAGTTTTCAGGACTTTCACCATAGACACTCAGGCTAACTTAATTCAATGGAGTCTATCTCATTTCTTCTCCCAAACATGGAGTACATCACATTTCTTCTCCCAAACACCACGCACGTACAATGTATCAAAGACATAATCATATTCAATGACAACGGATAAGAGATTAGTTTCAATTCACCTAATCCTCATGCAATTTCTACAATAATCATAGCTATCCTCCACCGATAGCCCAAACAAATATTTCTAAATAGATGCACAATCTCCAAGACAGATAAATTATCCAAATTATCTAACTCCACCATTTATATAAGCATCCATTGTAACACCCTCAAAAATGATATAAATCAAGCATTCATAAGATCTATAAACTTGATAGAAATGTTATATTTTTATTCATCAGAGTCTACATTACAAAAGATATTACATACATTACATTTTCATAAATGTTCATATTGAAACTATAGCATGTAACTCTAATTATGAACAACAAAATAAGTGCCCTACGGGCTTACATCTTTCCAAGTTATCACTTGGTTACTACAAAAGAAGAGTCCTAGCTCTCTACATATAAAGCCTTCGGCTTAAATTTACGTTTAACACAAAACAAAATAAGCAAAATGAAGCCTTCAGCCCCTAAACCTCCCAAGTTATGTCCTTGGAGGCGGCATGTCACCAGTACCTGAAAATGGTTTCCCAAGTAGGATGAGCCAAAGCCCAGTAAAGATATGCTAAAACAATATATGAGAATTAACTAAGACATAAGCATTAGATAAATGTGCAATAATCTTAATCAACACATACTCTTTCCAAGACCATTCAATATAGACAACCGTATCTCTATCCATTTCCATACATCCATATCAAGTAAATCTATTAACCAAATTCATTGTCACCTATCCAACCAAAATGAGATTACAGCTCAATGGTTCACAATTCAATTGATTCATCAATCCAACACTTCTATTTTCCTGCCATTTTACGAAATCACATCCGAGGGAACCAGCACCCATATATATAAGATTTCGGGACTTTCACCCTGGACACTCCATCCAACTTAATTTTCAATGGAGTCCATCCCCTATCTCCTCCCAAACAATGATACATATACAATGTATTTAAACACATTGTCATATACAATGACTAATCAAATCACATAGTCAATGGTTTAATCAAACCGTTATATTCAATGATATAATTCAATTGATTAGTTTCCGTCTCCCCAATCCTCATGCAGTTTCTACAACAATCATAGTTATCTTCCACTGATAGCACAAAACAGATATTTCTAAACAGATAAATAAATCTATCAAACAGATAAATTATCAAATTCCATAAGTGAGTGATTTATCAAATCCAACTACACCATTCATTTATATAACCTCTCAATTTCATATTTCCCATACCAATTTCACTATTTCTGCAAAACAGTTATATAACATAGATCAGGACAATTTTCCCCATCTTTCCAAAATAATAACCCATATGCCCAAATTTCAACATTTCAACATTAGGGAACCTTATACACAACGCTCCATTGTTATTTTATAAGCTAACATGAAAACCCCTCTTTTAAATTAGAACACAAACCCTAATTTCACCCAAATCCCACCATTTATACAAATGACAAACACATATGTTAAAACTCATATTAAAGAGTAGAATATCCCTACATTAAGTAGAGAAGCTCGAAAAGAAAGAAGGAGAAACTTGAAGATACCTAAAACTCAAACTTTCTTAGACGGGTTGCTCTACTTTTTTCTCAAAGGGAGTAGGGTAGAAAGGCCCTAGATCATGAAGTATTTGTAGAGAGAGAGAGAGAGAGATTTAGAGAGAGGAGGTGCCGGATTAGGGTTTTTAGGGAAGAAGAAGATCAAAAGTGATGTAAAATATCTTTGTTGCGAACTGGTATATGCAAGGCTCGCTCGAGCGAAAGAGTTGTCGCTCGAGTGACCAGACACAACAAATGACCTTGCTCGAGCGCAAAAAGTGTCGCTCGAGTGCAGAATGCAAAGCTTCAGGTCTAGCACAAACGCACACGCACGCTCGAGTGAGAGCGCAAGAAGCCTCGCTCAAACGAAGGAACAAATAACACAAGGCTCGCTCGAGCGCAAAAAACCTCGCTCGAGCGAAGAACTTCACATTACCCAAAAAAGCTGCGTCTAGAAGAAAACCTGAAGACTCTAAATTCTTGCTCGAGCGTAAAAAACCTCGCTCGAGCGAAGAAGCAAATTACCCAAGGCTCGCTCGAGCACAAAAAGCCTTGCTCGAGCGATGAAGCCAAAACCTGGGCAGCAACACTCTAGACCAGCTAGCAACCAACATGTTCCAAACTCGCCGAACAAGTCCCAAAACTCAAATTCAAAGAATTAAAGGAAGGAAACGAGACATAGACAACAACATACAATCACGGAACCCGAGTCCGGAACACAATAAAGGTCGAGGTAAAATCGGGATCACTATAACCTCCCCCCTTAAAGAATTTTGTCCTCGAAATTTTCGTGTAAGTTTCAAAAATCATGATTATCCAATTTTCAAAAATGATTACAATTCAATTCTCACCATCATGACCCACCCACCGGTCATTCCATCTCTTCTCAAGAGAACAATTCCACAAAATATAGTTCAACATGTATTACCATTTTGCATTCTTTCGAAATTTAACTAATTTCAATACATATATCTCATGTTTCCAAAACATATTCAATGTTTATGATATATTTACTTTTTCGAAGCTCAAACAACATATACAATGTTCAAATTAGACTTGCGTTTCTGAAACATATTCAGCATATACAATGCTTTCACAATTCAAAACATATACAATGTTCTCATACTTCATGAGCGAAACTAAAGCTTCAACATATACTCAAATATCAACAAATAAGTCTAGCTATTTCTCACGGACTTCCAATTCACGCTCCCAAGCTGCTTCCTCAACCCCGTAATGTTTCCACAATACTATGACCAAGGGAATTGTCTTGCGTCGCAAGATTTGGTCCCGTCTATCCAAGACCCTCACCGGTCTCTCCTTATACGAGACATCCTCATCTACCTCTAAGTCGGTCCAATCCAATACATGTGATCGATCCGGCTCGTATTTCCGAAGCATACTAATATGAAACACGTCATGTATTCTGGAAAGTTACGGTGGTAACGCTAAATGGTAGGCAACCTCTCCAATCCGCTCAAGGATTTCAAAAGGGCCAATAAATCGAGGGGATAACTTCTCACTCTCCACAAATCTCATCAAATCCCGTCTAGGTAATATTTTCAAAAAGACATGATCACCCACCTCAAATGATAAAGGTCTCCTCTTATGGTCAGCATAACTCTTTTGGCGACTGCGCTGTATCCAACCTCCTACGGATAAGTGTTACCTTCTCCGTCATTTCCCGCACCAACTCTGGGCCCAACAAAGGTGCATCACCCACCTTGGCTCAACACACAGGTGATCTACACAATTGGCCATACAAGGCCTCAAATGGTGCCACTATAACAAAATTGACTTTTTACGGCACCACATCAACGGCATACAATAAATGCACGTCGTAATTTCTCACTTTTACGACTTTCTTTTTTTGCACGTCGTAAATACTTTTCCAACCACGACATGTTTATTGCCTAGGCCGTAAATGGTAATAACGATGATTTTTTTACGGCTTGCAATTCACGTCGTAAATAATAAAACTTTTTACGACATGCATATAGCGTGCCGTTAATACATTAATTATACACGATGAACATATGCTAGCCGTGAAAAGTAAATACTTTTCACGGCACATACCACACCTACCGTTGAAAATATTATATTTTTTACGACGCACAATGCATGTCATGAATTGTATGATAAAAATAAATAAATAATAAATCAATAAAAGAAGCGCTGAAATGAAATTTTGGGCGCCAATATTTTTCCCCAAAATAACTATTTTGATGAAATCTCTCTCTATCTGAAGATGATGAAGGCCAAATCAATTGCTAAGGTGATCATCTCATCTCTTCTCTTCTCTTCTCTTCTCTTCGGTTGCTAAGGTTACTGAACCAATCGACTACTAGGTTTGCTTCTTCTTCCCTCCCTCCCCCCCCCTCTCTCTCTCTCTCTTCTGAATCTTTGTGTAAAAATTAATACATATAGAAAGAGAGAGAACAAATTATGTATACAGAGAATTGTATAAAGAGAATTATTATTATTGATTGATGTATTTAAATTAATTAATTAATAAAAGAAGCGCTAAAATGAAATTTTGGGTGCCAATTTGATGATGATGAAGGCAAAATCAATTGCTAGGCTGATCATCTCATCTCATCTCTTCTCTTCGATTGCTAGGGTTACTGAACCAATTGACTACTAGGTTTGCTTCTTCTTCCCTTCTCTCTCTCTCTCTCTCTCTCTCTCTCTCTCTCTTCTGAATCTTTGAAACTATTTTCCGAATCTTTGAAGCTATCTAATATCTATATATGTTTTTCTCGCATAGCCCTAAAGTTGTTCAACATCAATTGGTTTAGGGTAAACGAAAGTTGTGACTCTTATTTTTGAACAGAGCTTCGAGTCTTCTTCTTCTTCAACATAGCTTCGACTTGCAGCCCTAACAGGTTAGTTTCGACGTTTCTTCTTCTTTTTCTCTATTAAATTTCACCCTAACAGCCCTAACAGGTTTCTGGATTGTTAAATTTCACCAATCGAAGCCAATTAGTTGTTCGCATTAGGCAGTACCAGTGAGATTTTACCTCATTCTTTCCAGATGACCTAAATATGAGCAAATAGCAAAATGAGGAATCAGTAAAAACCAAATTTTGAATCCTTTTTTTCTTCTATATTTTCTGAAATAATTTTTATCTTTTTTTTTTCTTCTATATTTTCGAGCGAATTTCTTAAAAATAGAGCGTTTTAATGGACTATTTTAAACACTTGTCTGAGTTTCAAAAAATTCGTTTCATGAAAACATTGAAAACAATAAAGTTTTTATAACTGATTGTATTCTGTTCTGATTGTAATTGTTGCTTTATTCTTGCCATCACTACGCAATTGGGTATAATTTTTTTAATCTTATTATTTTATTAATCATCTTTGTTGAAATTAGCTGCTACTGCGTCTTCTTCTTTTTATTATTTTTTATTTTTATAAGTAATGATGAAATGGGTATCTGCTGTGGTGGATGATTGGTGTTTGTTGTAATGCCTCTTAAAAAAATTATTTTCAGTTATTTGACAATTTGTGATGACAAAGGTTTGAATTATGGAGAAAGCTATATCAATGGTGCTATGATTTATGCATATTATATATATCTATATATATTGGCAATAAAGGAAAAAATGGTTTCTTAGGCTTTTATGAGATAATTGATAGTGAGGGTCTTGGTTAGTAATAGTAATAACAGGGTAAAATTTAAGTCCAGTGCTTTGACGTAGGGTGAGATTGAAACACAAATTGTCCCAATCTAAAATTTAAACATTTTTTTTCCTAATATAGTTTTCGATTGATATTCATGCTTTTGTTTGCTTCTGTTGACCAATGAAAAGGATCCAAGCACATGAAGCTAATATCAAGTTATCCTCTGCCAACCTACCATACTGCCACAGCTATAGGGCAATGTAAAAACAGATGATCAATGCTTTCCTCATTCATCTTAATGTCATAATGCTAATTGCTAAGAGATCCATTTGAAGAACATGGTGACTAATTGAAGTAGCAAGCCTCTAACAATGGGTGGCTGATACTTTAACTGAGATAATGAAAAATCATTTCAACTTGTCAGTTGGAAGTTTAGACGGTTCTTGAAAAAAGATAGTGAAAAAAATAAATAAATATCCCAAGAGTCAAGAGACAAAGAGATAAACCAAAAATTTCCCTCTCTTTGGCATGTCTTCTTTTAGATTGATACATCTGTCCACTTCATTGTGTCATACAATGTTGATTAAATTTTTTAGATTGTCTTTTTTATTCTTAAAATTTTATAATAGTAACTTGATGATAATCAAACTTTACCTTTTTAAGTCTTGAAATTTATTCAAATAAAATTTTATTATAAAGAAAAATGATAGCATTCTGCTGTCTAAAAAATATTCAGAAGTTACTGTAGTTTATTATTATTTTTTTTAAAAATGTTTGGCTTGTATGATAGGAGTGCGAGTTCATTATTTATTTATTTTTGATGGTGTGTTGTTTAAGACAACTTCATTGAATGCACAAATAGGATGAAGCAATACTAATTCAATATGATTGACTACATAATATCAAAGGCAAACTCTTATTATTTGTCCACTTTAGTTCCATTTGATATCAATACTAATTCCATCCTTGATCATCATGTTCAAATCCTTTCAGGTTATATCCATATCTATTTATCTAAAAAGAGCTACTTGATTGATATCTTAGAATTGAGTTTGTATTTTGTAATATTGTTAATATATAATTGGACAAGATTTTTTCTCCTCCTTCATGGATTCACACAGCAAGCAAGCATCATGTGTTCATGTAGGTCCCATCTTTTCCAAAAATAATGCGAGTCTCATTATTTTCTGAATATAGTGGGTCCTATATGTGCACATGGTGTTTGATTCTGTGCATTGACTTGGTTCTGCTCTTGGGTTCAATGCCTGTTTGTTATTGACTATATAGTAAGATCATTTTTTTTTCCCATGTGAAATATGGCATAAAATTGGAGTAATGAAGGCATACAATTTGCATACTGGCGTCATACTTGTCATTGATCATCCCTTTTTCTTGACATATATGTTCTTAGAATAAATATTTTTTTGCATCTACGAGGATATGGCAAAGGGTCACAATTAAATAAAGATCTTTAAAAAAAAAAAATTGAGAAAATATTTTCTTGTTAATTAAGCCGAGTTACTAGCTTTGAGTGTAGTGAGTACTTGTTGGGCTTACCTTGAATAAAGGTTGCCTAGCTTAAGCCAAGTGTAAGACACTGTTCTGCCAAGCTGGGCTTTGCATACTTGTACTTGCTAAGATCAGTGCTTCTTTAGCCCAAACAATTAGTTTTTCCTAATAATTGGTTTACCTTGATAAATGATCACTGCTTTAATATGACTGCATCAGTGTATTGTCTAGTAGTAGTAGTACTTAATTTATCACAATGTGTGACATTGTTTTGTACTCTTTACAATGTTTAAAGGCTTCATAGTTAAAGTCCAAAATATGTCTTGTATTTTGTGATATGAAATAATGCCTAACAATGGAAATGTGGAGAGTATCTATTTTTATGACTCCACTCCAAAAACAAATAATGTTTTCTTGAAATATGTATAATCTGCTATGCCAATCTTTGGATCCAAAACAGTTATCTTGTAGACTTGTAGTCAAAGCTGATGTTTTCCTGCAACAATTGTGTGATAAATCTTGAGAAGTATATGGAATTAGTTAATGGTATGTTCTTTTGGAACCACAGGTCATCTTTCCAGCTCTTGATATACATGTGAAGAATGTGGCACAAACTTACTCCCTTGAGCATGAGAGAGAAAGTGTTCTTTTTGATCAGTTTGCGCTCCTGAATTCAAATATGCAAAATGAAGAAAGCTATAGGAGAGAACTAGCCTGTTGTACAGGAGCTCTTCAAACATCTATTAGTCAGCACATGTCCAAGGAAGAGGAACAGGTAATCTTTTGTTTCATCCTGTGATGGATGTCTTCCATTTTGTTTGTGATAGTATTAACTCATGCTTGGCATCTTTGATGCTTAACATATCAAATATCATTTTGTTGCAAGTGTAAGTATAATACAGTGGGAATTGTGCTAGAATTAGTTCTTCTATACATCCACTAGCAAACATTTTTCACAGTTCTGCTATGGTGTATTTGAGAAGTCTAATGATATTTCAGTAAATTAATTTTGTGGTTGTCTAGTTCATTCTGGTTTTCTTAACTAACAGATAATTGCTATGGTGTTTTCAACCAATGATAGAGCATCGCTAATAAGGCATGATATTAGTTCCCTTTAAGGGTTTTGGAGAATGCTCTATGAATTTGCATCATTATTTGATTGAAGGTGACTCCACCAAGCCCACATTTGTGGTGGGTTATATCAATGGATGAAATCTCACTCCTTGGTTGGTAGGGTATTCATCTAATGGGAGAGAGAACTGATTTTTTTATGCTCTATGAGAGTTGGATTCTGGATTCAGCTAACAAAAGAGCTGCTTTTTTGGCTAAATGAGTGACTACTGTATCAACTCTTAGGTGCCGTTATTTTATAGTTTATTGTCATTTTTGGTAAGGACGAGGGGTCATTATTTTTGTTCCCAAGGTTCTGTCGAAGGTTGGTTGGTTGTGATACTTGGGTTTAGGTCCACAAAGCCTTCTGTAACTAGACGTGTTTTGTAGCTATCCTCCTTAGTAATGTTTAGAATGATTCTTCATGGTTCTTATCTTTCCAAACTCCTCTTTGTTACCTAATTATATTCGTTTTGGCTTCTTACTGAAAGCAGAAGACTAAATTAAATATTGGAGGAAGTGAACAGATTCCTATGTGACTAGAAAATGAAAAAGTTTCCTACATAATGCTGTGCTTGAAACTTCTACAGGGATGTTTCGTCTCCTATATTATGAATTTATCTATGAATATGGGTCACACTGAATATTATGTGCTTATTCTTCCATGTTAAATGAATTGTTCTCTGTTGACAATTCACTTAAACAAAATGGGGCATCATATATTCGAAGGTAAAAACATAATCAAAACATTTTAAGGCTTTTGGCCAAATTGTTGCTTGTGCAGGGTAGTTGTTGAGTTACTGACATCCAACAACCAAACCAAGAAAAAAGTGGAAATGAATGGATTAAATAGAATAAAGCACATTATAGGCATGGACTATACTATGATCATGTATCTCGTAGTATTTTTTTATTTTATTTTTATCATTGGCACATAGTTCAAAATTCCCGATTAAGTGAATAACTTTGGATTTGGCAGGTCTTCCCCTTGCTTATTGAGAAGTTTTCATTTGAAGAGCAGGCATCATTAGTATGGTAGTTTCTGTGCAGCATTCCTGTAAGTATGATGGCAGAGTTCCTCCCATGGCTTTCGTCTTCTATTTCATCTGATGAATGCCAGGATATGTGCAAGTGCTTGAGCAAAATAATCCCAGAAGAGAAGCTTCTTCAACAGGTGAGGGTCTTTCTAATTCTCACCATATGCTTGGAAAGTCTGTCAAATATTATTTTGTCTAACGTTATTTTCTCTGTATTTAAGGTTATATTCACTTGGATGGATGGGGTGAAAACTAATGACAAACATAAGAGTTGTGATGATTCTAAGGACCAAGGTTCTCCAGATTCTGATGCTATCACCTTAAATAGTTCAACAATGAAAGCACATTGTGCCTCTGAATCTTCCAGGACGTGTAAAAGAAAATGTGTGGAACCAAATTGCAATCTTGAGGAGTCCACTCCGGCTCGTCCAGTAGATGAAATATTGCATTGGCATAAGGCTATAAAAAGAGAATTGAATGATATAGCTGAAGCAGCCAGAAGGATACAATTGGCTGGAGAATTTTCTGATTTATCTGCATTCAATAAGAGGCTACCATTTGTTGCAGAAGTTTGTATCTTTCACAGGTATGGTTTGTGTTAATATTTTCCCATTTGATGTTCCTTTTTCAGTATCAATAATTTTTGTTTTTTAAATACAATGATTACCATGCTTACATATTGCATTAGTTGGAATGTGTGCGACTTTCTCATATAGGAATTGATATCCTTATTGAAGCCTGTGCCCTAATATATGAAGAATGGCCTACCTTTTTTATTTTTATTTTTTGGTCTGTGAAGAATGATCTACTTCATGAAGACCAAAAGTTGGATATTTTAATCTCATTCTCCTTTTTGAAACCGTCACGATTTTGTTTTGGGCATTTGTTTTGTCCATGAAACAGCAAAGACTAACAATTGTAAGAAAAATGCATGAAATCACAATGGTATTGGCTCCCTTATATGCCCTTGCATTTTTTGTAACAAGTTTCTCTTTTCACTGGGACTGCATACATGAACGAGGGTTCAAACCTTGCATTCCCATCTAACAATATTGTTGATTTCTCAACCTTGAGGTTTGTTGGTTCTACATCTAAACTTCAAGTGAATGAACCAACAACCAATTTTATAGAGGCTTCTCGCTCGGAGGCTTCTTTCCTTAGAGAACCACCCAGAAGCTGCTCCTAAAATCCCAGAAAAAGTTGTAATTTGTTCAACCTCTATTCTGTCCTACATTTATTGTTTTCATTAGTTAATTATTCTGTTTAATTGAGTTAATCTAGTTCTAGTTTGATGTTTTATTTCTTTTATATTTTGCGAATATTATAATTTTATTATGTGTTTCTCAGAGCTCCAAGTGTAGGAAAAGAAAAACTCCAATAACAGATGATTCTCTTGAGAACCAAAAAGATTCTACATCTGGTCAGGAGAATGAAGCTGGCAGATCAACAAGGCTGCTGAGAAAGCGAAAAAATGGATGTGAGCTTGTTGATGGGGCTTCTCATACTAATGCCCTAGTAGTTCTCTTGTGGTTCTCTTATAGTTGTCGATATGTTTAGAAAGTTAGATATGTATAGTTTTAGAAGGTTTAAAATTTTTGTGCAGAGTTTTCGAATGTTTGAAATGCATAGACAATTGTTGAATATTTATAATTTATGGATATAGTTTTTTTTTAATGTTTCAAACAATATTTTGGTGCTCGATTTTTGTTTTGTGATTCTTATTTATAATATTTGTTAGATTGTACAAAATTGGTCAAATAGAACTTGCTGAATTTAAAAATAAAAATAAAAACTGCATATTCTACGGCAGGCATAATAAGTCGTCGTATTACATATTTTATGGCACGCAATCAATGTCGTTATTTGTCTCACCAATTAATGATGTGCAAAAGTAGTCGTAGAAAAAGTAACACCGATGCACAAAATCTGTCAAATAATTTTTAACGGCATACTATAGCATGTCGTAGAAAAAGTAATAACGACGCACAAAATTTGCCGTTAAATAATTTTTAACAACTCAAAGCATGTCGTTGAAAGTAAATGACTTTCCATGACTGGTTATAATATGGCACGCGCTGCACGTCGTAGAAGGGTTTTTACGGCGTGCATTGCGCGTCGTAAAAATCTTTTTTTGTTGTAGTATCAAACCAAAAACGATTCAGCCTAATCGGCTAACTCAAAAGATCAACCAATTTACAATACAATTAATTAATTAAAACTTTTTAATTTTATTTTAAAATTTAAATCATCTTAAACTGAAACATGCACTATAAATGAGATTATAAAAATCATTTTATATAAGTGAAAGAACTCACTTTTTCTTTTTTTTCTCGATGTGGGATTGTAATTATTTTTAAATTAAATATTATGAGAGTTTCAAAATCTCATACAAAATTATTTTTAAAATAAAAATCTCTACGTGAAATTGTAAAATAAAAGTTAAATGGAAGCTAACCAACGGAGATTTTCTTAATTGTTTAAAATTAAGAGAAAAAAAATGGGAATTTTTTTTTAAGGTCCCTAATAAGAGTAATTTACAGCATAAAGGACACCAAAAATAGGAATGATGTCTCAGGTCCCTCACTAACGACATGCGCGTTTTTAATTTTTTTTTGGATCAAAATACCCTTCACAGATCAACATAGAATGCTCAACTCGATTGCATTCCGACGACTCAATTCATTCCAAACATCCAACCATTTTCATGAGTAAGAGAACATGAGAATTAGGGTTTCACTATCATCTTCACTGTCGCCATTACGGTTTCATTATCTTCTGCCAAACTCTTTTCAATTCGTTCCTCACAAATTTCTCCGACCCGTTTTCATTGTTCATCGTCATCTCAGTTCATCTTCATCTCATTGCATCTTTATCTCAAGCCATTTCAGTTCGAAATTAGGGTTTTCATCATCACTCTGGTAAGTTTTCTCCAATCCAACTAGTTTTTCTCCGAAACACAGTTGACTAGACTTCCATTAATTAAGATTTCAATTTCGTAATAAAAACCTACATGAATTTGAAAAATGTTATTTCTCTAAGTTTCGAACTTATTCTTAAAGATGTTTGTGTGATTTTGTCTGTAAATTTCTCTGTCATTTGAATTTCTCTGGTATTTGCTTGATCTATGTGTTTTCTTTGAATTTTCTCTGGCATGTTTATTCCCCCATTTGTTTCTGGTTATTCCATATTTTTCTCTGATTTTCTGTAAATTTCTTTAGCATTTTCATATTATGAAATTCATATTTTTTTTGGCTTGCCATGTTTAATTTTCTCTGTCATATATGTAATTTTCTCTGGCTTGCCATGTGTAATTTTCTCTGGTATGTTTATTTTGTTCCATTCTTAAATTTTCTATGGCCACATCTCTTTTCTCTTTTGTGTGGTTCTGTCATGTTCCATTTTCTCTAGTTGTTTGTAAATTTCTCTGGCATTTTCATATTATGGAATACACAAGTGTTTAATTTTCTCTAGCTTACCATGTATAATTTTCTCTGGTATGTTTATTTTGTTCCATTCTTGAATTTTCTCTGGCCACATCACTTTTCTCATTTGTGTGTGTCTGTTATGTTCAATTTTCTCTGGTTGTCTATAAATTTTTCTGGCATTTTCATATTATGGAATGAACATTTTCTCTAGTTTGCCTTGTTTAATTTTCTTTGGCATATATGTAATATTTTCTGGCTTACCATGTGTAATTTTCTCTGATATGTTTATTTTGTTCCACACTTGAATTTTCTATGGCCACATCATTTTTCTCCTTTGTGTGTGTCTGTCATGCTCTATTTTCTTTGGTTGTCTGTAAATTTCTCTGAGATTTTTATATTATGGAATGCATATTTTCTCTGGCTTGCCTTGTTAATTTTCTCTGGCATATATCTAATTTCTCCTGACTTGCCATGTGTAATTTTCTCTGGTATATGTTTAGTTTGTTCCATTCTTGAATTTTCTCCGGCCACATCACTTTTCTCCTTTGTGTGTGTTTGTCATGTTCCATTTTCTCTTGTTGTCTGTAAATTTCTCTGGGATTTAATGTTGACATCTTTATGTTTTCATTGCCTAAAAATGACGAAACGTAAAAGCAGCAAAACACCATAAACACCAAGTCAGAAACAGAAACTCTATAAATAAGATAATCTAATTTGAATATTTCTTAAAACTAACTATACCTATAATTTGTATGCAGTGTGGATTGTGGCCTCTTCGTTTGCTACATAATGAGACAATATAGCAACCATGAGCCTATCAGCTCAACATTGTCAAAACAAGACGTAAGGTTCACGAGGACAGAAAATCATAGAGAGATTTGCGATCGAAATTGGCCGGTCATGGACAGAACCAATTGAAATATCACCAAAAGAACTAAAAGTATAATAGTGAAAGCATACTAGTGAAATGAAGACAATGTACACAATGTAATTAGGAATGACCCTTCAATTTTTTTTTTTCCGGTACATTGAAGAAATGATGTTCTTGACATATATGTATATATATTGTTTTAACTAATGTAAATTTCATAACTATCAATGGTTAAATATTTTTTTTTATAATGCATATTTAGTGGTGATTATCAACACAATCCACGCAAAGAAAATTGTCTAAAGAAATTTTTCTTGTATGAAGTTACCAGAATTTCACAAAAAAATTTAACTCGTATCGTGCCAAAAGGGTGCCTATATGATCATGTAATTTGTAATGCACTGTGTTGGTACGAAACAATCATCAAATTCAAAAAACACAATGTACATTGTAGTTTTCTCTGCTATTGGTAAATTTCTCTGGATGAATTTGAGCACACAAAACACAGTGCACTATTAGCAAATTTCTCTGGATGAATTTGACCTCACAAAACATAGTGCAGAAAGTAATTTTCTCTGCTAGTGGCAAATTTCTCTAGATGAATTTGCCACAATGCACATAGTAAATTTCTCTAAATGAATTTCACCTCACAAATTTCTCTAGATGAATTTGACCTTACAAAACATAGTGCACAAAGTAATTTTCTCTGCTACTGGCAAATTTCTCTGGATAAATTTGTCACAGTGCACATAGTAAATTTCTTTGGATGAATTTGACCTCACAAATTTCTCTACTATTGACAAATTTCACTGGATGAATTTGACCTCACAAAACGCAATGCACATTTCAACAAACACAATGCACATAGCAAATTTCTCTGCTATAGGAAAATTTCTCTGAATCAATTTGATTGGTATTATAAAGGCACTCCCAAAGTATGTTTCTAAAAATGCAACACAAAAAGTAATTTTCACTGCTATTAAAAAAATTTCTCTGGATGAATTTGATTGGTATTATATATGCACTGTCCAAAAAGTACATTTCACAAAACAAAATACACAAAGTAATTCTCAAATGTATTATTCAATCAATAAATGTAATATTCTCAACTATTTAACAAAGGTTCCTTGCATGTCCTCTTATTATGGCGATCAATTCTATCACATCGACTACATTTAATCACCCTTTTAAACTCTTCAGTAGAAGCAATTTTGTTCTTCTTTGGCCTCCCAGCTGGTCTCTTACTCAATGCAAGTAAAATCATAGCATCATCAATTCAATTCGCATGAAACATTAATGATAATAGTATCATTCCCATATTTGCACAGCAACAACACTGCACTGTCCATCTAAACTAAAACAAAAATACCAAAAATAACTTGTTCAATATAAAAATACTTCACAAGAACAACATAAAAGTCTAGAGAAATTTCTAATAATTATAATTTTCTCTGAATTATAATACCTACCTTATAATGTTCTTTGGACTCAAATAAAAGTCCAGAGAAATTTACAAACTTAAATTCACCTTCAAGATAACAAAAACAAAATTACAGAAGAATTAATGAATCTAGAGAAAATCACAGAGATATTCAATGCTAACTATTAAACACAATCATAGACAAAAATCACACAGAAGATTAGTCATCAAATTATAAGCTTCTCTGTGATTTTCACTGGACTACAAGCTTATAATTTTCTCTGTGTGATTGTGCATTATTGGACTCAAATCAGAATGCAGAGAAATTTCTCTGGAATATAAACATACAATTTTCTCTGGAATATGAGCATATAATTTTCTCTGGAATACAAAGTAAAGTGTAGAAAAATGAAAAGTGCAGAATAGATGAAAAAAACAGAGCACAAAACTTAAGACAGTGAAGAAAAATAGAGGCGGTCTCCAAACACGAAGAACAAAACTTATCATTGATAAACATGTAACACAGAATGAAAAATCAACTCCATTGTCAATAACAAAGAATGAAAAATCAACTTCAAAAATCAAAAAATAATTCACTAAGCTGTCTTTTCTATCACTTTGATCAAAACTGAAAATAAAAACCTAGTTCAAAATAAACTACAAAAACTTATTTGAAATCGGAGTCCATATATACAAATCAAATGAAAAATAAAAAACTTAAACTGATTATTAAGCTTACCTGATTCAGCTCTACTAGAAATTCGAGTTTCAACACGACTTCAACTTCTACACGATCAACGAAACTCAACTACTATACGACTACAAAATTCCTATAAAATTTCCACGAAATCTGCATCATCGAAATCTCTATCGATCACCAAGTTCATCCCAAAGTAATCTTTCACAAAAATAGTAACGTAATCTTCAGATTCCAAAATTGAAAACCACATATAATATACAAAAGGGTAAAATAGGTATTTTAT